CTGATTTACCTGCATGTCGGAGTTGGTGAAGCTGCAGGCAGACAGGTAGTTGGTGTGCATAGCAACAGACTTCTTTTTGGCCGCCATGTTTTCGTTTTTGTCAAAGGTCAGTGGGTACACGGAGCATTTGTTATCCAAGCCACTAGCACAGGAAGAAAGACCAAACATCAGTACAGGCCAGTACGCATTCTCGTTTACAAGATGCTTTGGCATAAACTTCAAACAAAACTGTTTCCTTTAGTGGTATCGTCGATTGTAACCTTTCCCCCAAATTTTCTTCTGAAGATTTCCAAACCCACAGGGAAATCAGGAGAATAAGGAGTACCATAAACACCCAGATCACCAACTTAACAGTTTGCCACGCTGGGACAAACTCACTCCCAACCGTGTGGATGCAGGCGACAAGTATGACATCTTACTCCTAAGCATTTCCATGTACAGATTTACATATGTGAAAAATCTGCACACATATAAATCACCAGAGCCCTGGTGGTGGCGTAGTGGTTACGTGTTGGGCTGCTAATGGCCAGGTCAGCCGTTCAAAACCACCAGCCACTCCCGGGGAGAAAGAAGGGATTTTCTATTCCTGTAAAGAGTTACAGTCTTAGAAACGTACAGGGACATTTTCACCCTGCCCTATAGGGTCGCTACGAGTCAGCGTCGGCTCAATGGCAGCAAGTATGTATATGACCATGATGAGAGCTGAGAAGATGGACACCATCTAACAAGCCACCCATCTTCACTCACACCCCCTCTACCAGCCGCCCCCGCTCCTACCCCACCACCCTGTTGTCTCCAGGTTCAAGGACTCAAGCAAAGCTCACACACCACATTCTGTTGTTCTCGCTCTTTAAGCCCTTTGCATCCGGCACAGACCCGCCCCTTGTTATTAAGGTCCATGACAGTGACGGAGACTTGTGAGGACTTGGGTCAGTTGTCACCCACTCTGGATTTGTCAGTTTCCCTTAAAAAATGTGATCAATATGCATAAAACAAAACATCTGCCATTTCAACCATCTTCACAGGGCCGGTTAATTGGCATGCCTCTGTTTATCATGTTGTTAAAGTTTAACAGTTTAGGTACCGACACGACAAAGGCATCGGTGTAGCTCTTTCTTGTGGCGATATTTTAGGTGGCTTCACGGGACCTTTGAGCCATTCTGGGTGACGTGAATGTTGGCTACTTGGTGGAGGTGGACCGCCACATGTCTCCACTGGTGAAGGAGATCTCTCCATCTGTAATCAGCTATTTCCAGTGTGGTCTGACACTCTGAGGTCAATGAGACTATATTGTTCTCCAAGAACCTCCAATCCAATGGCTTTGGCAGGAGGATCTTTGAATAAAATTAATTTGGGGGGGGGCGGGGGGGGGCATAGAGCAGTGATTTCCTAATTTGTTCATTCCTTCTGTATTTGTCAGCTGTTCTTTGTCTGTCAAGAAGAATTCCTCCCTTCTCCCAGGAATGCTGTATGTCCATGGGCCCTTTTGTACCTGCTGTTAATTGTGTTATCATCCATGACTGTAATTATTCTATTTGACACTCAAGTTGCCTCTGATTTGGACAGCAGAAGCTTTTCCTAATCAGCTCCCCTTTGCTTTATGATAAGACCTCCCTGGTCCTTGAGCATCTTTTGCTTTCTGAAGCACTTCCCCAACCTCCACCCCCACCCCCAAATCCTCAGCTCACTTACTCTCTTTTCATTCTTTTTATTTAGAAATCGTTTTATTGGGGGCTCCTACAGCTCTTATAACAATCCATACATCCATTGTATCAAGCACATATGTTGTCATCGTCATTTCTATAACCTTTTCTTTCTACTTCAGCCCTTGGCATCTGCTCCTCTTTTTCCCCCCTCCCTCCGCCCCCCTCCATCCTCATGAAACATTGATAATTTATAAATTATTTTATTTTCATACTTACATCATCCGCTGTCTACCTTCCCCCACGTTTCTTTTGTTTGTTCCCCTGGGGTGGGGTGGGGTGCTGGTACATGTTGTTTGTCAATCATTATGATCAGTTCCCCTTTTCTCCCCTGATCTCCCCCTGAGGGGTTTATCTGTCCTGGATTCTGTGTGTCAAGAGCTCTTATCTGTACCAGTGTACATACTCTGGTCTAGCTGGATTTGTAAGCTGGGGTCAAGATAGTCGGGGGTGGGGGGTGGGGGGTGGGGCGCAGGGAGGAAGCATTAAAGAACTAGAGGAATGTTGTGTGTTTCATTGGTGCTATACTGCACTCTGGCTAGCTCATCCTTTCTTTGTGACCCTTCTGTGATGGGATGTCCAATTGTCGACATTCTGATCCCCCTCATTTGAACTCAAATGGTTGTTTGTTTTGGGTCTTCTGATGCCTGATACCTGATCCCGCTGACACCTTGTGATCACATGGGGTGGTGTGTTTCTTCCATGTGGGCTTGTTGCTTCCCTGCTAGATGGCTGCTTGTTTAACTTCAAGCCTTTAAAACCCCAGATGCTATGTCTTGAAAAAGCTGGGCACCATCAGCTTTCTTCACCACATTTGCTCAAGCACCCATTTTGTCTTCAGCGATTGTGTTGGGAAGGTGAGCATCACAGAATGCCAGGTTATTAGGAGAGTGTTCTTGCGTTGAGGGAGTACTTGAGTAGAGGCCCAATGCTTATCTGCTGTCTTAATACTTAACCTACAAATATATGTACATAGACTTATCTCCCTATCATTATATGTTTTGATATTTATGTACATATTTACATATGTACATGCTGATGTTTATGCCTCTATAAATGTCTTTGCTTCCTGGCTCTTTCCTCTATTTCCTTTTACTTTCCTTCTGTTTCACTCTCATGTTCGACCTTCACTCAGCTCTCAGTAATTCTGCTTGGCTACACTGCACTTGATCGAACCCTTTTAGATCTCTTGTTGTTCCCTTGTCCTCTTGCTCCGAGGAGCCCAGCATCCTTTTAATGGAGAATAAGACATAAAATGAGGTTCTTCTTTTGAGGTCTTGTGCAAACTAGGGAACACTTTTGCCACCTCAGCTGCTTGGGGGTATAGGTATACATCTGGACTTTATTTCCCAATGGTTAGTCATGGCTAGCTTGTTTGTGGGTGGTGTGGATGAGGATGATTGTACTTGGGCTATGGCGATGGATCTGTGTGAGTGGAAGACCACCTTCCTTGAACTCTGACGCTCCAGGCTCACTTCCCTGTAGTTCCGTTGGCTGTGTATCAGATAGGGTGGTTTGCACTGCTGGGAGAGGGAGAACCTTCACAGGGCGGTGCATGTGACTTTGACTCTCTGCTTCAGGACCAAACTCATCTTGTGATCTTGGTCAAGCTTCTTACCTTTCTCTGAGTCTTGGTTTCCTTACCAACATTCACTGCCACCCAGCCCATTCCACTCAGGGTGACCCTGTAGGACAGAGTAGAACTGCCCGTGTGGGTTTCTGAGGCTGTACAGCTTTATGGGAGCAGTCTTGAACTGGTGACCTTGCTGTTAAGCAGTCCGACGTGTCACCCACTATGCCACCAAGTCTCCTCTCGAATGGAGTCAATTCCATCCACCGAGCCAAAGAGTATGCAAAAACAGTTCAGAATGGGACTTGTCACACAGTAGGTCTTCTTGTTTTATTTATGGTCCCCTCCTTGTTTCACACCCAAAACCAAACCCAAAACCAAAGGAACCCACTGCCATTGAGTTGATTTTGACCCACGGCGATCCTGCAGAGGGTTTCCAAGCCTGTAAATCTTTACAGGAGCAGACAGCTTCATCTCTCTCCTGCAGAGGACCTGGAGGGGTGAGTCACTGGGCATTGCAACGCCTAACCCGCGCGACACAGAGCTCCTTTGTTCACCACAGGGTGGGGGTTAAGTTGGTCTCAGTTCTCAGGGGCAACCTTGTGAGACTGAGCTCCAGGAGAACAGAACAAGCCACAATCTTCCAAGTAATCTTGCTGCTCTTGTCACTTAATTTAATCAAGCACATCCCTTTTAATGGCTGTATAGTATTCCATGTATTGGGATGTATTAAAAATTTTTTTGCAAAACATATTTTTTTCTTTTTGGTATACGCTGAACAATGCTACAATGCATGTTATTAACCATATAAGTTATTAACTATAAGGCTCCCCATCATAGTTTGATCATTCCTTTAGAATAAGGTCCTAGATATGGAATCACTAGACTAGATGTCACACACTTTTGATACAAATAAGCAACTTGCTTCCCAAAACATTTGCACCAGAGTAGTCCTGTCAACAGCATCTGAGAGCAGAGGGGACAGGTGTGAAACTTATACTAATGCTGGCTTGTCATAAACAAGCACGGGGAATTTTTGTGGTTTCTCCTTCTTTGATAATGGTCAGGGAGGAATTGAACACAGTGCTTGAAAAGTAGACAAGAGTGACAACCAGTTCTTGTTTGCTGGCTTTGGCCGATAGAAGCCCCTACTTACCCACAGGCAATGGCGCATCCCGACGGGGCGTAGGCACACGCCATCACCCACGTACAGGGCATGGTGACCGCGTGCTCCTGAAACACAACATCCACTGTTGACAGAGTGAAGGAGAGACCCTGCTGCATGAGGATCTTGACATTGAGCTTGTCCAAAAGAAAAGCCCTAGAGTCCCTACCAATGGATCACAGATTTAGGGGAGAGTGGCATGGGGCAGAGAACACCAGCTTGACATGAGGAGGGGACCCCGTCTCCCCTTATCCAACCCAACCCTGCCATGTAGTCTAAGAGTTCAAATCCTTAATGGAAAACAAAATACAACCGAACAAAACTCTCTGGAGTGTGTCTTTCCCCTTCGATGGTGTACAGTGAACCCTCGCCACTTCGCACTTCGACTTCCGCGGCTTCACTCTATCGCGGTTTTTGCGTAACAGCACATGCTCTGTCATTAGTGTCACTGATTGGCTCATACTGTACACGCTTGATGCCATAAATAATATAATAAATAATAAATGATAATTGTAACATCCAAAATGTTTTCCTGTATTTTCCCTTTTTCGTTTAATAAATTGGGTAATACGAGTGTAATGGTGACTAAAGGGTGTTTTTTCATGTCCTCTATGCTCTAACTACGAAAATATTTGATTTACAAATAAGGAATCCTACTTTGCGGAATTTCATTTATCACGGTAGGGTCTAGAACCGATTAAACCCGATAAACGAGGGTTCACTGTAATTCCTTTCTTCTTCCTCGGCATCAGTACTCTCCTGTTGCCATGTACGTCCGAGTCTTTTTTCGGATCTAGAATTTTCCTCATTTACAGATTCCCTTTTCCATAACTCCATATTCTTGAGTGACGTCTTATATGTTTGTGACACGTGTGTTGATTTGTGTGTATGAGCCTTTCTCCCCTGGGGGCCCCAAACCACTTCCCGGACAGCGATGGCAGGGGCTGGGAGGGTGGTCTTGAGAGGTTCTCCTGGATAAGAGCAAGTCCTTAAAACGGAAGCACTAAGAACCAAGGTGTAGCAGCAATCCCTGGTCTCTGGCTGGTGGCTGAGTCTCTCATACAGACAGATAGATAAACAATCAACTACAGTCATGTTCCAAAACCTTGTGGGTCTGTGGACGTATTCTGAAGGGTGGCATGCGCCTTGGCCCTAGCTCCAAGATCCAGCAAGATGAGTGACCCCACGTAGGATGGCCACTTCTCCTTCCTTGGTTCTCCTCCTCCATCTCTGAAGTGAGGGGGTTGCACGAGATGGTCCCTAAAGCCCTCGCACATGCTCATTGGCTCGCCTGTTATGAGCTGTCTGCTTTTGTGGGGAAACACAGGCTTCAATGCTGCCTACCCAAATCCCATTGTCATTGTTTTACAGCCTGTTAGATGTCAAGAAATGCCACTTCAGGGAATGAGCTTGGTGTGGTCATGATATAATCGTTTGTCAATTTGAAAGGATTCAGAGTGAAGGGGTGGAGTCTAGCCTGTCAATCAGGTCATAGCCAATGAGGCCTCTGTGTGGGCCTGGCCTCCTCCTGAGGATTCTGGGAACTCCTGTCTTCCTCCATGGAAGCGGGAGACACACACGCTCTCTGCTCATTCCTTGGGAGACATCGCAGCTGAAAAGACACATGGAACTACACTAGTGCCCTGAGTTGGAGAAGCCACGTGGAGACCTCTGCTAGCACTGAGATGCTTACAATGCCACTGGATTCACAAGACTTCCCACCCACTAGCCTGTGATCTTCCTGCATTCGGCATCATTGCATGTGTTGCATGAGTCTGAAGAGGACTTTATAGATTGGTATCAGACATAATGGGCTAATATCGGACTTAGGGACTTGATCTGGACTGGGCTGGGATGTTTTCCTAATATTCAATTGCTCTTGTATATAAAGCTCTTTCTTATACACATCTGAGTCTCCCTGGACTTTTTTCTCTAGTCTCTCCAGACAAACACACTCGAGGTGGCCACTCTAAACACAGGTCACCCCCAGATCCCCCTTCCTTACAAGCCATTCTTCACCGGAGACCACCAGGGGAAACTCCCACAGCTCTTCAGAGAGCAGGCAGTCCACACTCTGCACCATGCTCAAGTGTTTACGGAAGCAGCGGGGCCCCTGTGCACACTAGAGATGCTGAGGGCTTTGAGGAGAGGAGGCGGCTCCCAAGGAGATGGGGCTTTTGAAAGCCCTTTGCAAATTGCTGCTATCTTTTTTATTGGCCAGGTGTTGCAGGATTTGATTGCGTAAAATGGTCCTGGGTCTGCACTCCTTTCCATCACCTGACGGTCGCCTGCCACGACACGCCCAAACACTTTCAGAAAGGTCGAGTGTCCAGTGTGGAACAGACCCGGTGCTCCTCTTTGGTACGGAGAAAGGAACACTTCCTAAGTAAATATTTAATACAAAATATTCTCAATTGAAAGTGCCAATGTGACACAGGCATGCCCACCTACACATGGATTTTGGCTTTTCTCTTCAGTCCAGGGTGCAGAGCTAGATCTAATTGGGGGCCCTGCATGCCCTGGCCTGGCATCACAATGGCTGCTTTTCTAGTTCAGTTTTATGACTTTGCTTTGTATATTTGGAAGTGGTCATTAACTACTTGATAATTAAAAATTATTACATCTAAATCCCTGCGGAGAGATCCCTGCGGTCCCACTGCACCTTCATCTTCCTCACCCCCTCAGTCGCCCACCTGGACACTGCTATGGACTCGGGTCAGCCAGGGGAAAGAAAACCAGGAACTCCGCCCACTCCCTCGTCACTCAGGAGGGAAACCGTGAATCTGGTCGCACGTGTGAGTCTGAGCTCCTTCCCGGGCCACGCACCTCCTTGGTTTAGTGGTCTCTCCACTTAGGGGGGTTCTTCCTGGGGAAAGGTGAGGCTGTCAGCGTCCATACAGGCCACAACCTTGGAAACCCCTGGGGCGGTTCTGCTCCGTCCTCTGGGGTGGCTACGAGTCGGACCCGAGGCGATAGCAACGGATGTGGCCCTACACTGTCCTCTCTGGGCGCGATTTCTCAGCACGAGAGGAGACCACGTTAGGAAGGTCTGGCCCAGCTGTTCCAACACAGAAGAGCTTTCCCATGACCCGATGTCCTCTAGTCGCAGACTGACTGACCACTGTCAGCAGCGCTGGGAGGGGTGGCAGGTGGAGGCTGGGTTGCTAGACTAACAGTCACTGTCAGCTCCTGTCCAGTTGGCCCTCCATGTGTGGCGACCCCGTGCGGCACCCAGTAGCATCGCTCCATAGGGGCATCATCTTTACAGTAGCGGTTTGTCAGGCCTTTCTTCTGCGGAGTGGGTTCGAACGACCAACTCTGAGGTTAGCAGCCTCTGCTGGGATTCCTAGAGACCTCAATACTACCCAGAGGAATGCCTTACCTTGTTCGTAGTGAAAGAATCCCACACGATCACCTTCCCATCCTGGAGGGGGAAGCAAGGGAAAGAAAGTTGTCAACAATGCCCCCAGGGAGCTGCCGAGAACGACACGTAAATGCTCTGTCCAGCTGGGCACTGTGGAGTGGAGTGTCTTGCTAAGGAAGGGCCTCCCACCGGTCCTCACCCAGGCCACGGGATTTTCAATTGCTTCCTGTGCAAGTGAAAGTGGGACACTGAATAAAGAAGAATCGATGTATTGGTACTGGCGAAGGGTATGCAAGTACCACGGACTGCCTAAAGAACAAACCAGTCTGGCTGGAGGAAGTACAGTCAGTATGTCCCCTAGAGGCAAGGACAGTGAGACCTTGGAAAAGGACGCCACACTAGGCAGCGAGAACCAGGAAGCTCTGTTTACAGGGTGGACTGACCCAGGGGCTGCAGCAAAGGGCTCAAACATAAGAACACGTCTCAGGATGGTGTGTCACTCTGCTGTCCCTAGGGCCAATGTGGGTCGGAACCGACTTCACGGCACCTGACAACAACCACCACCTGCCCTTGGAAAGGAGGGCAGTGAGCAGGGACTGAATTCTCCCGTCTGCCTGCAGGCTCAGTTCTCACGCCACATTCCTTGTACGGTTGCGATTGCAGAAAGCAATGCTCAGAGGCTTCTCTCATATGATTCCCGCCCCCCTTTTTTCATTTATAATCCAAGCACCAATTATCGATAAGCTTCCCTAGCACCCAAGCGTCAAAAAGGGGTATATTAGTTTCCCAGGGTGGCCATAACAAGATACTATCAATAGGGTAGTTCAAAACAACAGAGAGCTAGTGTCTCACATTTCTGGAGGCTGGGAGTCCAAGTTCAGGCTGAAGCCCAAACCGGGAGTCTGCAGGGCATGGTCTTTGTGAAGGCTCTAAGGCAGGGGTCCTCAAACTTTTTAAACAGGGGGCCAGTTCACTGTCCCTCAGACTGTTGGAGGGCCGGACTATAGTTTTTAAAAAAACTATGAACAAATTCCTATGTACACTGCACATATCGTATTTTGAAGTAAAAAAACCAGATGGGGCAAAAACACCCCATGGGCTGGATAAATGTCCTCGGTGGGCCGCGTGTGGCCTGCGGGCCGTAGTTTGAGGACCCCTGCTCTAAAGGGTGGTTCTAGCCGCCTCTCCTCGTAGCTTCTAACACCCTCAGCCATGCATTGGCTTGTAGCTCTAGCTTCTTTCCACCACCACCTGGCCGTGGCCCCTCTCTCTTATTAGATGGCACGGGGACTCCCCACTAACATCTTCAAAGATCCTATTTCTAAACAAGGGCACATCTCTAACTACCAAGGGTTAAGACTTCAGCATATCCTTTGGGGGTGGAGACAGAATGAAATCCATGCTTATTGGTAAGATAAACCTAAAATTACCCTGAGCTCCCTGACAGGTAAATAATGCTCTCTTAGCAGTCGGTGTAAGATATGATAATAATAATAATTTATAATTTATTAAGGGGTCATGAGGATGGGGTGGGGGTAGGAAGGGGGAAAAAGAGGAGCTGATACCAAGGGCTCAATAGAAAGTAAATGTTTAGGAAATGATGGCAATATATGTACAAATTATGCTTGATACAATTGATGTATGGATTGCTGTAAGAGCAGCAAGAGCCCCTAATAAAATGATCTTTTAATAAAAATAAAATGAATCAATGGTCTCTGTTTTCATTTTCTCCCTCATCATCCCCGCTCCCCCTCTACCGGTCCACGTGCCCAGCAGCACCGGGAAGGTACACAGCACCCCCTCTTCCGTGCCCATCTCTGGCCGTGGACAGCTGTGACGGGGAGCTCTGTGGGCCTGAGAGGACTCTTCACGTTTACAGACAGGACAGCTTCCCCCATGGCCATTTCTCACCAACACTGAGAACAGCGTGTGGTCCCCACCTATACTGTGGGGGTCCCCCTGTGGGAAGCCCATAGCAAACCAGTGCCACGCCATTGCCACAGACGACCTGCCGTTCACTGTGACCTCCTGGCTCTGAGGGAGCCGGACGTTTTGGAAGCCCTTCAGTCGTGTGGACTGGAATCTGGTGAGTGAGGAGGGAGACCCGGCTGGAGATGAGCGGACACACGGGCCCGGCTTGTAGTGCACGGCAGCTGGCCTCCCCAGGGTCCAGAGCGATATTCCCTATGAACAAGCTGCAGGACCATGGGCCCTGACACAAGGTCAAGCTCCCCAGGTTCTTGGGCCTGAGTTATCTGACTAGATGGGGCGGGCAAGGGAAGCCTTGAGCCTGGGCGGTGGGGTGGTGGCACCTTGGGCTGGTCACAGCAAGGTCAGCCGCTGGAAATCGCAAGGCTCCCGACTCTCGTAGAGAGTTAACTGTCCTGGAAACGCACAGGGGTGGTTCCACCCTTTCCTAGTGGGTCGTCGTTATGAGTCAGCATCGACTCAGTGCTGGGAGGGGTGTTTTTTGTTTGTTTTCCACATAAGTCTTTAGTTCCAGAAAGCAGAGCAGGAGCCAACGTCTGCACGTGGGGGTCCTCCACACCCTGCACCCCCTCGTGCTTGGTAGGTGGTGGTAGCGGTGGTCCTGAGCCAGTGCTTCACCCTGCAGTGTGCCCCGTCAGTGGCTTCCTCCACCCCACAGTCTGCCGGCCTGTCCCCACCTCCCACCCCTGTGTGCTCTGGAGAAAAAGGGGGACAGGCAGCTATATAAAAATATAGATGCCCATCCCCCCTGCGGCAGTTGGATAATTTTATGTCAACCTGCAGATGTATGAAGGTGTGGGAGTGGACTAAAAGCTGTCAATCAACTCATAGCCTGATGCTGTCTCCTTGGAGGCGTGGCCTTCTTGGAAGGAGCACCGGGGTCCTGTCATGCGTCCAGTGGACCCTTGGCACCACACGACTATGCACCCACTGGCCTGTGATCCTGCCGCATCCTGCATCATTGCATGTGGCTGTGTGAGTCTGAAGAGGGACTTAGGGACTAGTATCAGACTTATGGACCTGAGCTGACCTGGACGGATGCTTCCTGGATATATAATTCCTTCTTGATACAAAGCTCTTTTGTGTACAGTGAACCCTCGCCACTTCACGCTTC